AGAACTGGGATCTGCTAGATTCTAGGCCATAGGATTGTACGATTCATTATCAGACACCGGACAAGGGAAGATGAGGCATTAGTTCTTAAACCAGTAATCTGCTATACAAGTCATTGCTTGAGAAAAGAAATCAGTAAAAATTTCAGAAAACTGAAGAATCGCACAATCAATACACTGTTCTATAATGACACGGAATGGGACGTTGGGATAGTACGTATGTGGCATGAATGGAATTCTGAGCGGAAAATGTCCCGAATTAGCTAGGCCAAAAGATAGAATCCGTGAACGACAGACATCAAGCGGACGTCAGAGTCGAATGTGGACATAGATAAAGCCTACGAGTACAAATCAAAATGTGAATATGTCAGATACCATCATCATAGATAAAATGTGCGGAATACGGTTCGGAATGTTCTACAACCGATTTTTCTTAGGTGTGGGGGAGCTAAACGATTCACACGATAACAAGTAGCTAAATACACTAATGGCAGTACGAGTGTAGATGCAATGACAAATAGTACTTTAATTTTGGGGAAAAAAAGTAGGAGGATAAGGTAACGAGCAAAAATGTCATGGTATTGAGTATAGTCAAGTCACAGCCGTAGGCACTGGATAGGGGCACAATAATGCGTTTCATTTGTGGAATGCTCTTGGCAAGCCTATGCTGTGACGTCGACATTAACAGAATAGCAGGTAGATGTGCGGAAATTGCATGTTAAAACCAATATAAGGAACGACATAGGCGGAGGCTACTGTGGTCTCAAGAACGAGAAAATGAGGGACGAGTATGAAACAACACTTATCACTAGGAACAAGATTAATAGTAGATCTTAAAATGAAATTACACGTGAATTAAAGCTAGTTTAGGCACCGAATGGAACTTCGTATGGGAGGATACCTTACCTATCATGACGAGTACATCAATATTAAATGGCATATAAACGTATAGATACATATAAAGTAGATGCAATAGACTTGCTATCTTTGGCATCTTTATACTGGGATTATGCTTGAACTTTAAAGAGTTAAGGACATTTGTTTTCGTCCTGAAGCACCATAGATTTATGGCTGCTACCTCATCGTGAGGAATGTAATTATACGGTTCCGAAAATGCTGACGGATGTACTTCTTTGGATTGATGCTCTTTAAACCGTATTTATGATTCCAATTTTAACTGTTCCCGTATGGTCGTTGCTCGATTGGCGTATTTTGCAGCATTACGTCCAACCAGTCCATGTTCTAAGTATCAAATTCTTAAGGTTACGAAGAGAACAAACTTTCTCAAACGAAGCTTGCCTGGTCACCGCTGTCCTCTACATGAGACGGTATGCACATTGGATCCGTGCTGCGTCCGCCAATACTCTAAAAATCACAGATTGCTTTTCTTTTTCCTTCTTCCTTTCACTAGAGAGGTGAAATTTATGATTTAATTTCTCCTTCTTCTTTTCACTAGAGAGATGAAATTTACATCGTGAGGCTCGCTGCTATACGGAGTATACTGTCCATTGTTGGCAATGCTACGATCAGCGCAATCCAACCAATCATCGCCGAGAAGATCCGCCAGTTCTTCGCTACCGTAGCCTACGCCGAGATCCATTTGAAATGATCCTGACTTGCTACCATCTGCAAAGCATTCTGGAATGAAATTTTATCATTAGACAATGTGGCTGTACAAGATCCAACAAAGGAAGAATTAGTATATCTCACCTTGATCGTCTCTAAGAACGGCCATTAGGTCGTCGATATCTTGGGAATAGCCATGTTGAGGTCCATGCTAGCAAAGAACATATGGTTAGAAACATTGAAAGATGGCGTAAGCTATTGATGGTGATTTAATAATCAGCTAATAGTCTTCACGAGATTGAAATCTATCTTGAAAGAAAGAACCGCTCAAATTTTTTTTGTAAATGATAAATTAGACTGTAAAAGGTGCGAGATCGTGCCGAGTCTCCGCCAAACTTTTACACTCTCAATGATTAATGAAATCTGGCAGTAAGGCAGAGCTTGGTTGCACAGAATGTTGACTTATGAAGTACAGATTGCTTGGAAACAGTATCAGTA